TCTATAATATATATCTTATTTATGAATTTATCTAATAATGCTACCTTAAAAAACAAACAAACAAGCATACATTTGTGACACAGTTCGGAAGACTTTGAATAATACTCCTGAAGATTTCACTAGAATCTAACCTTCAGCAAGTCTTAACAGGCACAATTAACATATTTATCGCACGCCTACTATACAGCTGTATATACGATATGTGTGATATTGTATATATAACACAGCAGTAACCTATATGATAGAACACGAGTGGGACAAAGGGAAGCACACATTGTAATACTAGATTTGACAAACAAATTGCAAACATTATCATAACATTATTGGGTCGAACACTGACGCAAGACCACAGCAAACATAAGGGTCCAAAACCCAACGACGATACCTGTATCAAGTACATGGAATAACCATTTCATTGTCACCACCATTGAACGAAGGTATACATTCTTTTCCGGCAGTATCATGCTGACAACGACCGCTACATACCTCCTCTGATGTTCACACTCACCTGAATACATATCATGTATTACGAATAACGAATGTTTTAGCAATAGTACAGCAATATCATGGCGGGGGACACTAGAAACGGACTTCACATTGTACCCATGTGGGGAATCGAACCCGGGTCTTTGGCGTTACGAGCGAACGTTTTAACCACTAGGTTATCCCACTGCCCCCTTACAAGATGAATAAATACACCCACGTGCATATAATCACAGCCAGAATTCAATGTGATATGAATTGATAACTGAAATGAATAATGTTCAACATTAGATACACTACATATCTCCACACACTGATTACCTTGTACAACACAATCCGTTTGTCCCGATATACAAGCTTAGATGAAGCCTTAAAGTTTCACAGAAAAAGGTGATCTAGTTACTTTTAGCACAGTAATGTACAACAGGATTACTGCCTACTCCATTCCATGCTGCAATCTGGAGAGGTATAGTGGAGCATAGGAGTTAAGATCCCAGTCAAATTGTCCCTACAGTAATATTGCTGTAATGTTGCAAAAAGCGGCATAAAATGATTCTCACTCATGCTTTAAACAGTAGTGTATGATAAATAACTACCACAACAACTTTTTTTGTGAGGTGAAGTGAGATGATATGGACATTTTTGTCGTGTTCAAGATTATTTCAGTCTTGAGGCGACCTAAGCAATAGTAACACAAACGGGCAAGCAAATTTAAAAGAATAGTTCTTAAAATATGTTCTTAATAATAGCAATATTTCTTACTAATAGTTTTCATGTGTATGAAGATATAAAGGTGGACAGTTAATAGAACCCAGAGATGTTTTCACCAGACTGGACATCAAGTAATTCCACTTGACGTTTTTCCACTGGAAATGGCTGCAACCACCTTGGCATTTGGATCCAATTTAAATTTTCACGGATCTTTCTAAACTGTCGTCTGCACACATAAAGGTTAACATCGTCTGCCAATAGGGAGCTGATGAGGCGGAGAAGGAAGATGGAATTCCTCTCACGACAGCCATTCTACATCTCTGCAAGCGACATTCATCAATCGCAATCCATTTCCGCCACTTCGTTTTCACATGCAGACCTGCGAAGCTTTCCCCGATCCCCTCATTCAGTTGCCATGGCCAAGGCGCCATTGATTTATAAGTCTTTGAATAATGATTAAATGATTTCTCGGATCGACAACGGAAGCTCCGATCACATAGTTCAATTAGTCAAATGCTGGCATAACGGACGACATTCGCCGGATAGAAAACACAAGGTTAACGACATATGATTTGGGGCAGCAGACGACAACGGAACAGTGTGCAGTTGGTCAGTTCTGCCGTTTAAATAACCCGTGCCATCAATATGTATGTCAAATCAACGAAGAGTACGATATCACTGTAAATTGTCCGGTTTAAACACGAACATAATAAGAAAATGTCACCATCATAGCAGTGCCTGTACTAATAGATGCAGATAGGCCTGTGGAAATGTCACAGTGACCCAAACGCTGATTGTTTAATAAATGCCATATGAGAAGCTGTGTAATTAGTGGAGTAATTTGTGATATAATTCAACCAGTTCTGCAACTGAAAAACAAAAGCTCTTAGCATTGCTTATATCAGGGATGGCAACAGGAAAACTAATATTGTGTCATCGAATGTGTTTGTTTGTGTGTTTAGGGGGTTTCTCAACGGATTTAGATGATTCACAGAATTGATCAATTTGAAATAAAATTGGTGGAAATCCGTGAACAGCGAAAAATCGCCATCCCTGTTAAATATAAACTGTCTGCAGTGAAGATACCAGGAAAGCTTCACCCATTTCTCTGAATACAATACAGATAGGAAGCATGAATGTCCTGAGAAAAGTCACTGTATACATTGGGACCCTGTTGTGGATCACTAGGGGTTAATTAGCCACGATCCTTACAAGGTAAATATACACACTGAGATTCTGTTCTGGGGCACTAAAGTTGGATTAGTGACATTTAAACTTGATATTTTTCTATAAACTCAAATTTCAAGGACAGGATAATCATTAAATAATTACACAGTATAATTACACAGGTACAATATCTCAGTTTGCCACATGACAGTAATGTTATGTTGTGGGCCTTCACTGCAATGGATACAAGGCTGTTGAACATATCTCATCCTACCATTCGATGGAAATTGAGTAAATACTCATTGGTATGTAACAGTCACAGCCCTTCCAAATAGTAATTGTCTAGGTTCCATTCTGTCCCTTTCCCACCCATCCCTGTACTGACAGGCGCTCATAGGGTCCATGGTTAGGGTGTGTCAGGGATTCAAACCTATGACTATATCTTGCCCAGCTTAGTGGCCAAATTAGGAACATTGGATCCACCAAATGAGGCAAACACTGTTTAGTAACATTTTGGACCATTTCAGTCCCAATGCAAGGAAGCCCAGGTTTTGATAGAGTGAATGAGTGAGTATGGTTTTATGTCGCTTTTAGCAATATTCCAGCAATATCATGGTGGGGGACACCAGAAATGGGCTTCAGACACTGTACCCATGTGGGGAATCAAACCCAGGTCTTCGGCATGACGAGCAAACACTTTAACCACTAGGCTATTCCCACTGCCCCACAAATCTGAGTACAGTGTTCGAGCTGTTGATCTTCTGACCTCCCATGTGATATGTAAACTGTATGAATGCTCAACTGGCCTGGGAAAGGGGCTCCACCCGTGTTACAAGCGGTATACAGAGTTAAGTGAACAGACATCCATGTGACAGCCAATGTATATAGGATCAGGCAAAAGTGTTGATATATACTCAACCTTTTCCAAGTGCTAGCATACCAGTTTAGATCAAATAGATCCCAGTCAGATCAAAAAGTTAAGGCATTCTGGTTGTCACTCAGCCAGGAATAAGTCAACAGCCACAATGATCAACTAGTCCACCGAAGCAATTCTCATCAGTTGGATGAACAGGAACTTTGGCATTACAAGTACCAGTTTAACTGCTGGGTTATGTGGAGCTTCCTCAATGACAAAAACAACAACAGACTTGAAATAACGTATTCATAAGTTTATTGGACATAATCAGCAGAAGCCCCAGCGACAGCAGTACGAAGAGCTACACAACTGGTTATGTCTGTACACAGTTATCTCCCCCTGATACCTCCATCGCCAGGGTAATGTGTACCTCGACAACGTGCCATGCCCACCATCTTGTCTGAACATTGTCTTGTACACATCCACCTGGAGACAAAACGTCCCTATAGCATGATTGTCAGTATAATATTCCACCCTGAATTCAATGTAGATTGACATGGTACCACAAAACCTAGCACAGAATTCTTTCTAAGATAAAAAGTGTAAATCTGAAGTGTAATCTTCAGAATATGAGCCAGAACTGTTTATTAATTTGCATACCCAACTCAGATCAACTAACCTCTTTCCACCCCTGAAACACACTACAGAATTAATGTCAGAAAAATAGAACACGAACACATAATGCAAACAAACTAACTACTAACCACCCAAAGTTGACCATGGGCAGAATCCACTGACTAACAGCTAACTCAAGTGAACTTCTAAAAGTGTCTCACTCAACTGGCCTTATGATACAATGTAATGAATCATCTTCTTCAGGTGATTAATACTCTTTAAAATAGATGGTAAAAGTCTGGTCTTAATATAAAAACACGTTCAGGTGAGAAACAAAAAACTAACATCTTTGTTTGCAAAATCTAAAAAGAATTTTAATTTTGAAGCTAAAGTGAAATGGAGGCTTGCTCCTGATTTGCCATAATTTATTCAGCAATATTAGGTCTGTCTGTAGCAGGTAAACCAGTGGCTGAACCTGAGTCTGTTAGAGGTACACGACACACAAAGTCAACTCGAGAGTTATCCTTCCTGACTGAGATTAAATAGCAGCTGTTTTCCACCCCTGGTTACTACATCTATACACGCGGGTAGACATGATGCTGTCAGCATCCACACACAGACACATTTTCCCTCACACATTTGTTTTCACTTTATTAGTACTTTTTGGAAAAGAATTCTTTACATTCATAAAAGGAATATTGTGAAATTTATTTCCAGAAATAACAGTAATAAAGTGCACATTTAGATATAGACACTGCCATTTTCTATGTTTGCACTGGAAAGTGGTGAGGTTTCCTCAAACCAAGCACCTGGAACACGACTGGCCTAAAAATGCTGAACCCATCTGCCTCCCATCTTCAGTTTATGTGTTCAGTTTCATTCTGTGCAATCAAAACCTGTATCATTAAAACCTATTATTCTATAAAAATAATTTTTCCACAAATATCAGAGAACATGTCAAAGTATACACTGAAAACTTAATACTCAACACATCATACCGCTATAACAATGGTTAAAATCAACAATTCTGCTATACACAACAAAGCAATTACCTCTACATATTACTTCCCAGAACTTCCTCAGATACAAGAATATATTAAATTTGTGTTCTAATTATCTATCTACTATAAAATACATGACAACAGTATCTGTATTTCAGATTATTATCAGATCACACAGACAGGGTTTCCAAGACAGTTGACAGGCACCGTTATTGTTAGATATTACCAACCTTTCTCTACAAGCCAACAACTACTACAGGGCCTTAACACACGCCTAAGTATGGAGGAACACACATACTGACTTGTATATAGTTGATCCCACAAAGTTATGTACAATGGCAAATTAACACAATTTGCTTTGGCATGGATTCCAACAAGTCATCATTTTATACGCTACCTGAAGCCTGTAGTTCTATATACAACTAAACTTATGATCGGGATTGTTTAACCTGAAATGAAGCTCCAAAATGGAAATATTAATAGTGTTTGCAAGACAGTTACCAGTTACCAAGTGACCACTTGCAGTGCAAGTTGATAATCCCAATCAAAAGTTGAGTAATATATATGTTGAACAGCTATCAGCTATCTAAAATACCATATACCACCCAATAGAAGTTAAGGACTTCTCAGTTTTCTCCTATTACTACTATTGTTTGGTCATGCAATGGTGGTTCTTAACTTCTGTTGTATAGTATAGGCTACGGATTTCTGGTTAGTATCACATTCTGCGTAGACATTTTTCTGCTTCAGTGTTTTGCACCCACTGATTAATCATGCCTTATATCAATGCATATCTACATAAAACATTGTTTGTTGTGCAGCAAACTGTATGTAAAAAGTGGTTTGTATAACAAAAATGGCACATAAGGATTATCTGTTCCTTATCAAAAAGACTGTTGTACAAACAAAAGCAGAAAGTTGGTCACAAATTGTCACATTCATACAATTCTTTTACAAAACATACAGAACAAAACTTACCAGTGAAAAGATACTGATAATGAATGTTAAAATATTTGTTCCCACATGCAAATACCTGTGACAAATTTGATGATATTCTTGTGTTCCCAACTACAGATTCATAAAGAGGAAAAAGGCTCTTCTGTTGACAGACTAAATACATGGCCATAATGATGGTAATGAGGTCCAATGGCTGATGGAACTGAACTGTGAATTTGTGATATTGATGATTGGCTCTTCCCAAAAGTAACACATTGACAGGAAATATTGAAATAATTAATACAATCATATGATTTTAATGTAAATACGTCATACTCAACACATAAGTCTCTTTGTGTCAGTGAGTAGAGCTTTACACTATTTTAGCAAAACTTTTGCAAAGTGTTCATCATAGTGGGAAATCCATAAAAGTGTTACAACATGGGTGGCCAATAGCCATCCGGCTACCACAGTGCCCCACACATCCAATGAGTGACTAAACGACACACATACATAGATATACCGGTACATACACATGGTTACTCTGAAGGATATACTTTACCACATGTACATGACGGTAGTCGATGAAGTATTTGGTAAATAGCCACAGACAACCTTTCTCCACTTTATGCAGAATCTGTACAGACTGTTAAATGACGAGGGTGAGTAGCTGTGCAAATGGAACAGGATTATGCATACTCTCCTGGTTAATGAGATGAATATGTGTGCAGCAGTGCCATTTATTTCTTAAATTATTGCTGTGTTAGAGACTGGTAGAAGTCCACCATGATCTTCCACGCACTTGGTGCCATGAAGCCAGGGGGTGGTGTCTCCCCATCACGTGCTAGTTTACGCATACGGGTGCCAGAGATGAAATCAAACTCCTCCTTCTTCTCAGGGTCAAAGAAAGCCATTGCCTTCTGCTTGGTGTTGTAGGCAGCCACCCTGAATGGGACGATCTCCAGCTGTGTCAGCCCTGGCGCCATGGTGAGAACCTGCAAGATGGGATGAGTTATATTAGCTTTATCTGCCGGACACGTATCTGCCCTGAATAGACTAATCTGGAGATAGGGAAGTGTGTCAGTGGAACATCTGGTGAAGGACATGATCAGGTGTAAAGTTCTCACACAGACTGGACAGCAGGGGTCAGTCTCCGGATAGGGGCAATGCCAGGCCTACCAAAGAAAACTTTCCCACTGTGCAGAAAAACGCCAGAAAGCCCACATTAATTGTGGAAAGAGCAACACAAACATAATACCTCGCTACTGAAACAGTAAAAACGGCAACGAAAGACTAAGATGCAACATTTTTATATCAGCGAATTTTGACCTCTACTGCCCATGTGCATTATGATCCGCGTTTCTTTCAAATTTCCGAGCAACCTTGAATATGTCGAAATAATTGCTGTCAATCATTTCATACCAATTGAAACTAAACAAGTGTGCACACAAGTATCATGATGATAAATGCCAAATAACACAACAGAAATACTTTAAAAAGGGAATGTAACTTTTGTCCAAGCTGAAAATTGTCAACATGCGTTCGAGACTTCCTCTTCCATGTGTGCATGTGCAAAATCGAAGTTGCAGGCTCTTCGTATTTTTTATCCAGTTTTAGCGATTTAAAGTTGCCGTTTTTACTGTTTCAGTAGCTAGGTATTATGTTTATGTTGCTATTTCCACGATTAATGTGGGCTTTTCTGCGTTTTCTGCACAGTAGGAAAGTTTTCTTTGGGAGGCCTGAATGCTAAAGTAGGGCATATCTCTGTTAAAAGGGAAATGGGGCAAATTCCTCTGGAGATATGTCAGATCATCTGTTAATCAAACAGTTTAAGCTTCAGCTTTGACTGATGACTTAGTTCAGAGTACATCTGCAGTAACTGACTACCCTACCCTAATTAGTGCATTGCGTCCACTTTTGAACAAGATATTTTAAAAGAGAAACAGGGTCAGGAACAGTGGCAGTTTCTAGAAACTTTGACCCAATGAAGAATATTTCCAACTGCACATGGCACTCATTACAATATCATGCCTGTGAAAGGAAACTTCAGGAATAGCTAACATTTAGTCAATACTGTGAGCTTAATATGTACATTAGCATATATAGTTGATATAGTTTTGAGGATATATATTTTGCTGCATAAAATAATGAAACTCACAACATGTACTTTCTAACAAATTTAAGTCCAGATACCATAGAGCAAGTTCATGCTGTTTGTTGTTAAATGCAGTACTGGGCAATATTCCACCTAAAGACCAGCTCCCTGTACCAGGCAATTTTGGGGTATGCGTGGTGCCACACTAGTGGTGTTCCGATTAATTGAAATAATCGAAGATTGGTCGCATTGACCAAACGACCAAGCAATCGATCACATTTTCTCATAATCGAACATGAACGATTTTGGAACTATTGTTTGAGTCTTTGGAATACTTGACAATGGAACATATCTTAGAAGTTGTCAGGGCCTGGAAACATGTTTATTTCTTAGAAAACTCACTTCACTAACTGAAAAGTCATGACTGAATAATTCTCTAAGACTCCAGGAAGTTTATGTTCATAATATATTAGTCATCCCTTTAAAGTAACAAGTTGCATCATGTTATACTTTTCTGCAGTAACAACCTGGATAGGAAAATCTAAAAAATGATGCTAACCAGTTTTTTTCGATGATTTTCGTTGGTAATGAAGGAATCATCAATTGTGAGATTTCAACCAATTCCCAACACTATGCCACACCATCACATCATCAGGTCTCACCATGTGATCATTTGGTTGCCTTTTACGGGAAGTATTTCCATATTCGACCTACCTTGGCTCCATGTGTTGGGTCATACAAGTCACGGGTGCCATCAGGGTGTGGCATCCCTGCAGGGTCCCGACCTACGATGTAGAAGTTGGCACCTGTCGACATCCTAGCCTTGGCGTGCCACTGAACCTGTAACCCGTGGTTGGATTACTTGCAGGATACACAGGAAACATGCAGACACACACATATGACTGACAGACTGAGTTTAGTTTTACGCCGCTTTTAGCAATATTCCAGCAATATCAAGGCGGGGGACACCAGAAATGGGCTTAACACATTGTGCCCATGTGGGGAATCGAAACGGGGCCTTCGGCGTGACGAGCCAACGCTTTAACCACTAGGCTACCCCACCCCCCCAGACACACATATGAGATACTCAAGTGAGTGAGTGAGTGAGTGAGTATGGTTTTACGCTGCTTTCAGCAATATTACAACAATATCACAGTAGGGGACACCAGAAAAGTGAGTGAGTGAGTGAGTGAGTTTGGTTTTTTCGCCGCTTTTAGCAATATTCCAGCTATATCACGGCGGGGTACACCAGAAATGGGCTTCACACATTGTACCAATATGGGGAATCGAACCCGGGTGTTCGGCGTGACGAGTGAACGCTTTAACCAGAAGGCTACCCCACCGCCCCGACACCAGAAAAGGGCTTCACACATAGTACCCTTGTGGAGAATCGAACCCAGGTCTGCGGCGTAACGAGCGAACGCTTTAACCACTAGGCTACCCCACCTCCTCCATATGATATAGGTTACCCTAGATAACCCCCTCCTCCATATTATATAGGTTAACCTAGATAACTACCTCCTCCATATGATATAGGTTAACCTAGATAACCACATCCTCCATATGATATAGGTTAACCTAGATAATGACTACAAATCTTCAAATATCACTTCTTAAAACAACATTAAGCTTGGTAATTTGATTTCAGAGAACAAAATTCATGAAATCAGTTTTAATGTACAGCATGGAATAACTGTGGACCAATCAGCCTCTGATACACACCTCTGTAGGTCCAGCATACATCATTGGAGATGGGAAGATGGCCAGTACTGTTGTGTCTGGGTCTAGAATTCCTTCCTGGAGGATAGCCGCATGCTGACGCATACGAACAGGCAGAGGCACATCATCATCCTTCGTCCACCCACCTGGTCAAGAAAAAGCACAGGTATAATCAGTGTTGTAAAACAATCATCAAAACACATTCATCATAGTCTAGGGAGGATGGCAAAGGGCAGATCCATTCTGCTCTACAGACTTTCACCAAGGACTTGCAAGTTTCTTCCATTACTGACATTTACAAAATATTGATGATCAGGTCACCCTGGTATTCCAGGCTGATCTTCCCCAACTGACCTAGTGGATGCAGCAGTAGAACTGGCTTCTGGTAACCTTTCTCCAGCATCCGTCTCTTGGTGTCGTTCATCAGTAGGGCATGGCCGTTGTGTACTGGGTTACGCAGTTGGAAGGCAAACACAGCATCAGCCTGGAAAGAAGACACTTGTCCTACAACTATGTCCAATACTATTGCATCTAACAAGAATTACTACCCGAGTCCAGCGTTCGAAATTAATGTTGGTCCTTAGGCCCCTAGTCGACTGAAAACCACTCAGACCCACAGCTTTTGTTTTCTGCGGGTCCTTATGGGTAAACAGCTTTTTCGTCCCCAATAACTAAGAGTATTATTTTGATATTAAAATTTAGGGCCTACACATTCTGATCAGGACCCACAACTTTTTATGGTTCTGGGTCCTTATGGCCAACAGCCTTTCAGGGTTAAGGGCAAACACTGTCTGAATCACACAGTTGATATACATTAAATCAAATATGTTCAAAGAAAATATGATTTTATTCCTAAATCGTATATGCATTATAATCTTGTAATCTTGGACCAACATCATCTGGCTGTTCCAGCGGCTGACTAACAATTCTGAGAACATACCCCAATGTCTCTGAAGCGCAGTCTTAGTTCTTTGGGTGTGAGTCTGAACTCATCCAGACCATCATTCCAGTAGATCCTCTCCAGCACCTCGAGGTCTCCTCCCACCAGCCAATCACCACTTTCGTACACCATCTGGACAATACACATCACAAGTGATAATACATCACTAGCAAGACAATGGTGATCACATAATCAGACATTTTATACCATGGAATCCCTTCACCCAGCTTATATTGTGTTCAACAATCTCCTACATTTGACATAAGTATTTATACTGAATCCCCGCTGTATGACAAGTATATATACTGAATCCCCTCTGTATGACAAGTACCCTTCACCCAGCTTATATTGTGTTCAACAATCTCCTACATTTGACATAAGTATTTATACTGAATCCCCCGTGTATGACAAGTATATATACTGAATCCCCCGTGTATGACAAGTATATATACTGAATCCCCTCTGTATGACAAGTACCCTTCACCCAGCTTATATTGTGTTCAACAATCTCCTACATTTGACATAAGTATTTATACTGAATCCCCCGTGTATGACAAGTATTTATACTGAATCCCCCGTGTATGACAAGTATATATACTGAATCCCCTGTGTTGGTTATCTCCCATTTGACAGACACCCATTTGACAGATACCCAATTGGCAGACACTGAACTAGAAGGTTAATTAGGGTAACACCTACGGGTATAATGGAACAGTCCACTGGCCAGTGAGTAGAGCAGGGTGAGCCTGAAGCAGGCTTCTTACTGAGAAGTTTGATTGTGGGTAAATAGAACTTTGTTGTGATTAAATAATAAATAATATCTCTTCTCAAAATTGATTTTACTTTCAATTACTATCTAATATAAAAACAGGTTTGTCACTTAGAGGTTTGATTGTGTTTATTGATAGAAAAGCCCCCCTCCCAATAATAGCATATGTACAACAGAAGTTAATTGAGAAAACGTTTTGTTGGAGAGATATAGATATGTACATATTTGAAAACATTCTGATTTGTAGTAAATGAGACACCTGCATTGCCATGTAAGATACGATTAATACCAATCAGTGTTCTAATTTTTACAATACTTTCTAAAGATTGTAACAGTTTATGTCTTTGAGTAGTATACAATGGACATTCAAGGAAGTAATGCAAAACATTCTCACATCCATGGCCACATTGACATGATGCGTCATATTTTTAAATATGTATTCTGAATACATCGTAATTAAGTGCACTCGTCATATATCTTAATATTGTGTGCAAAACATATAACTTCCTTATTCCATATGAATAATATTTAGGTTCACATTTGTCTTTATTTGATTTATATGATACAACAGTGTCGCAATTTCTAATAGATAAGCTAATGTTTTCAACATGATGATGCCAACGCCCGTTAGACTAGAAATGTTTATGTCTTTTCATCCATCTTTCAAATAAATATATAGCTTCAGTTTGTTCCTGTGTTTTTATTTGGACTATTCCATTATAATGTGTAGGTAACAGGTAGTAGATAATCTGCTCACTGAACTGTAAATATTGCTGTTTTAAGCTGTCTGCGAACTGGCTGTCTGCGAAATGGGAGGACACCCCTGTGTTTGACAAGTATTTATATTGAATCCCCTATGTATGACAGGTATATATACTGAATCCCCTCTGTGTGACAAGTACCCTTCACCCAGCTTATATTGTGTTCAACAATCTCTTACATTTGACAGAAGTATTTTTACTGAATCCCCTGTGTGTGACAAGTATATATACTGAATCCCCTGTGTATGACACGTATTTATATTGAATCCCCTGTGTATGACAGGTATATATACTGAATCCCCTCTGTATGACAAGTATTTATGCTGAATCCCCTCTGTATGACAAATATTTATACTGAATCCCCTCTGTATGACAGGTATATATACTGAATCCCCTCTGTATGACAAGTATTTATACTGAATCCCCTCTGTATGACAGGTATATATACTGAATCCCCTCTGTATGACAGGTATATATACTGAATCCCCTCTGTATAACAAGTATTTATACTGAATCCCCTCTGTATGACAAGTATTTATACTGAATCCCCTCTGTATGACAGGTATATATACTGAATCCCCTCTGTATGACAGGCATATATACTGAATCCCCTCTGTATGATAAGTATTTACACTGAATCCCCTCTGTATGACAAGTATATATACTGAATCCCCTCTGTATGACAAGCATTTATACTGAATCCCCTTACCAAGACCACACATTGGGCCCAACCAATCCTCTTTGTATAACAAGTTTCGAAATTGAATCACCTAACCCAGGCCACACATTATGTCCAACCAGTCCTCTTTGTATGACAAGAATCTCTATTTTCTGGGAATACCTTGAGGGTACTGCAGCTACCTACCTTGATGTATGGATGCCCTGGGTTGGTGGTGCCGAACTGCCTGCTGCACCTCTCCTCCTTGTGGTGCTTGTAGAACTCAGGGTCTCTCAGGATAGCAACAGCCTTGCCCTCATACTTCAAGGTGAACGCTGCTTTCCCTTCCAGGAGTTCCTTGTCCACTGTCTGTACAGGAAGCACGATGGGGATGGACTGATTTGTCAGGCCACCTGCAACACGAACATGGATGTCTATATTGTGGGGTTGGGGATGATGACATATATACTTATTCTCCCACTTATAACATACTAGATAGACATTTATGCAGTTATGTACTAGTTATATCCAGACTCTTAGTAATGAAACACAAATAGACTAACCAACTTCAGCACAAATTCTGTTTGAAGTAAATAGGATACATAATAGATTTTCTATGGAGGCGTGAACAGAGAATGTATCCGTCTTTTCATGTGCAAAAATTCTGCTATCCCTAATAGTGGCAATGCCATATTTTCTTTTGTAAAGTGTGCACTTGTGCATAACCACCATTTTGTGTACTATGCAGTCGAAACGAACATCAGGAGGAATAATGTATCATGAAGGAGGATAACATGAGGAATGGATGTAGCTCTGCTTGTAAGTTGGCAAGCAAGATTTGTTTGACATGTTTGTATAGAGGAATCCCGATTCATGTAAGATATTGAGCATGGAGCCATAGGCCCATGAAGAAAATATCCTTCCCAACCATTCCAAGTAGTCATTGCATTTCCATATGTATCTCTTCAAACACAATGTTAGAATAAGACAATGTGCCATTTCCCTTCTTCTGTGAAGCATCTGTACTCACCATCCAGCAGGCACCCAAAGTGCTGACTCTGCAGAAACTCCCTCTCCCTCATGAAACCCCTGAGGAGGGGAAGCCCAGCCCTCTGACAACACCTGAGTCCACTGAAGGTCCAGCTGTAGGGAGGGAATATATAACAATATCAGTCATTCTGTGCTATAAGTAGAAGTCAGTTTTTGTTGTCAAACTAAGATGGGTTTTATTTCAAATATAAGCTCAAATTAATGGATTTGGATAAATAGTATGATTGATACACAGATTTGTTTGGCCAAACTACTCATTGAATTTATACTGAAAGTTAAAATTATTGGCAATAGCTCCAGATAGCAGTACCCACCTTTGTGATGTTGACTGATGGAAGAGATTCGGCCTCAGCACGAGCAGCAGACACTCGGTTTTCTGGCACAAACAATTCCTTCACAGAGTTCAGCGCATGAGTTGGCACAATTTCCTAAATAAAATATACAAAAATGTATCAGCTGACAATTTTATTAAAAATACAAAACACATAAGCTTAACAAATATCAACATTGTTTACTTGCCCCGGAGAATCATCATAAACCAGAACAGCATTATGTATGACCATCTGGAATATACATGTTCTAACTGTAACTTATACATAGTTGTAATATTACTGCACCTTTTCAAGCAGATTTTGAATGATTTCCTGTACACACTCATCCACAGTCAACTCTCCGGCCTTGAGGGTCACCTCAGGGGCATCTGGAGCTTCATAGGCCTGGTCAACACCAGTGAATCCTAGAACACAAGACCCAACAATGTAGTGAGTAACTTGGTAGTTACAACATACGCAACAATGTAGTATTATCTATGTAACGAGGTAGTTGCATATAGGTTATATAAAAATGTTGGAAATAACATCCATTAAATCTAGACAGGCTTCACGTTGGAAACTTGAGTTCCACTACAGAGAGGAACCCATTCTACTAAGCCAGCCCACCTTTGATCTGACCAGCCCTGGCCTTCTTGTACAGGCCCTTGACATCTCTGCTTTCACATATGTTGATGGGTGTGTTCACATAGCACTCAATAAACTTAAGCCCAGCACTTTCATGAAGCTTCCTTGCTTGGTCTCGATCCTGGAAAACAACATGAAGCAATAAACATCAGTAATTTATCTTATAGTTGTACTTGTTTCAACTTACAGTCTGAATAGCATCAGCATAATAGCTGGTCTTGACAGCTTGGGCAGAAAGGCTTCTTTTCAATAGATAGCACTTTATGACTCTTGGAAAACACATCTGATTGAATCAGCAGTCATAATGATCAGCTGAATACGGGTTATACCCATTTAAAGAAAATGTCTTTCTATATTGGAGATGTATACTCCAAAATAAATCACATTTTCACATCTAAGGAGTTGATTATTTCGAAGAAAATAAAAAAATGAAAAGAACTTATGAAGTTTTTTTACCTTTCTGAATGGTGAGATGAAACTGGTGATGCAGACAATACCGCCATCAGCAAACAATTTGGCCACTTCTGAGATACGTCTGATGTTCTCTTCAGCGATCTTCAGGGGAGAAACCTAGATTCTTGTTGAGACCTGTTCTGATGTTGTCTCCATCCAAACTGTAGGAAGGGATGCCCTGACCAACCAGGTATTCCTCCAAAGCGAAGGAGATTGTGGTTTTTCCAGCTCCAGACAGACCCGTCAGCCATATTGTGCAGCCTCGGAATCCCCCTTGCTGCCCACAGTTTTACCTCTCTTGTCTCGGGAGACATGTCCAGCTTGGAACACCACATTTGTGGCCTTCTGTACAGCCTGCAAGACAGAGGGGTGCTCAGGTAAAACAGAAGCCATTATAAAGCCAAAACCTCAAAACTAGATGTCTCTGTTGCTGAATATGATCTACTGAGTCCTCAGTCAGGAGCCTGACCACCCAACACAGTTGGTTGCCTTGACCTTCATCCGGAGGTTACTGGAGCAGTATCAGATTCCTGACAAGGTTTAAGACTCATACATATCCCATATAGGATGTCAACATTTTCTTTATTTATCTGGGGCAATCATACCTGGTAAAATATTCCCGGAAACCTGCATAAAAAAGTTTGCAAACTTGAGAAATGACAACCATTTAGGGGTCATAACTTTCGGCATTAATCGATCAGGTTTGTGAGGAAAAAGTGGAATTTCTTCTACTGGTGCTTATCACATGGCATGATGGAGACTGCCTGGAGAAGAAAGGCTTTGTCCCAATCAGCACACAGAGAAGCACACAAAACCATAACAACATGATTAAAGACACTCCGATCAATGCCACAAACTGGAGCTGCATCTTGTGCCAGTGATTTCTATGAATAGTCAATTAGACCTTTGTCAGCATCACAGATGATGTCAGGAATGGTTAATTCCACTGACTAAGCAAAATGTGATGAAACTTACACAGCGAAAATATCATGTTCTTGATTTACACTTAATGTTATTACACGTCAAGAGTAGAACTTACAAAAATGTCGCACAAGATCTGATAATGCAAAAGAACATAAATGACAGAAACAATACAACAAAGTCCTAACAGGGAGACTCAGCTCCTGCTATCTGCTCATTTCAAACAGGTGAAATTAGAGGGTGTAATTTGGGGTTCTCTTTAAGAGGGTGAATGATATACAGAATAAGTTAAGTGGAGTTTGAACCATTTGACCAAATCATTGCTTGAATTCCCAGAAGGGTCTCGTATAGTCCATCTTTAAAGAGGAACAAGCTCGAAGATCAGATATTTCCATAAATAATCCTGAACAAAATCAGCCAAGGAAGAATACACTCGAGACTATTGCATTCTTATAGTAGTCAAGACACGATGAGGTAATTTTACGACGATGTTGTATTGGCCACAGTCGGTTTACACATGACTATCTGCTGAAGACAGATGGGGATGGACCCCCCATGTGTGTCTCTTGCGATGATGTTTTCACCATCAAGCATATTCTGCTTGACTGTGTGGACTTGTCGTCTGCAAGGGACTCACATTATGATGCAACAAATCTGAAAGATCTGTTCTCCCGCGTGAGCGCTCATCTGATAGTGAACTACCTGAGGGAAGTTGATCTGTATCATAAATTGTACCTGTGTAATGTGACTAACGAATTGCCTGCTTTTAAATTTGGTGTTGTGACTTTTCGGTTTTAAATGACAATGTAATGAATATATGCTTTTGAAATAAAACTCATTCCGAGTATGTACTTACAATGTTTATTAATGCAAACTTGTTCTCGTCACTATATGGCTGGAATACTGCTGATGTGACGTAAAAGCCAACTCAACTCAACTCAACTTATAGTAGTAAACCAAAAGTAGAGAAATATCCCACTGATTGTTTTCCTTGATTATATGTTAACCTTGAATATATGTTAATACTAATCTGTGATGTCAGGAGCAGAAACCTTAAACATACATCCATGGTTGATAGAACTTGTTTCAGTGATGAGCAAGATGTGTAGATGTATCCAAGCAGTATTGATCATGCACTACTTAAGAAATATAGTTCACTCTACCCCCATGTATAGTGTAATAAAGTAAACTTTTGCCCTGAACTATTATAGTTAAAGTGCGATGACGCTGGCGTGACGTAATGCAAAAAAGTGTACTTTATCGCCTGATAAAGTAGTGTCAGTGCCTTTGATCTTTTAGCGAAGCATCTTTGAATTAGATTTGTTGCGTGACAGTATAACAGTTAGTACATCTACATGAAATATATCCTTGAGCGGATAATGTTAGTAGGTTTGTGGTACAAACTGGCCTGCTGTCAGGCCTGATTCCAACTTTACAAATTACACGGATCAGTCGGTAAATTCACCATTTCTAGTGATCCAACAAATGCTAACATTTAGTTTCATCTTCCTGTGAAGGTTCACCACTAGTCCCCCAAAACAAACTTGAAAGTCAATGCATCATTACACATTGAAGTAGCATTAGTTCTGACAGTAACCTGAAAGTCGCCAGTGAAGACCTATTCCAACGTGCGAAATAGCCACTGGCCCGCTAGCCCGTGGCTAGTAAAAATCCAGTTGAGCCAGTAAATATCCACAGTCACTGGTCCGACTGGCGAGCGACTTTCATGGGAATTTTGTAAATATCACACTTCATGGGATCATTTTACGATGAAACCCGATAAAATGATCATCATATTGCCGACAATATCATATTCTAATCTATTTTTGTAATCTTCTGCTTAGTTTCTACATTCAAATTTCGGGCTAGTGAATTATTTTGTGGACTAGTAACTTTCATGCATAGCTAGCCTGACTGGCTAGCAAAATTTGGAAACTATTTCACACACTGACCTATTCTTTACATCATAAATCAACAATTGATACCACCTCTTATCTTGAAGTACTTAAAATCAGATTTACCCTTGTGAGCGATTGTCTGTCAACAGCGTCTAACACTACACCACCATAATCAATGGATACTGCCAGTGAACACAGTAGTCTGTACATACATGCTATAGATAATAATCAAACAGAGCAGATGGTGGATCATGTGCCTAGTCAGTGACAGTAGGCTGAATTCTCTAACTAAGTGAGTTTACGCCAAAGGTGTGTGTCCTGTGGTGGAAAGCGGATCAGCCACATCACCAGCCACATCACCGGCTGACAGTCCACGTCATGACAAAACCAACACTAACATCCATACACCTACCACACGGAATACTGCTGAAACCTGTGTGTATGCAGGGCTGGCTCAAACTGGGCTATAGCTAGTGTCAAGAATAAACAGCACAAATAATAGGCTAGCCTTACTTATTGTACAAGAGATCCACATCCAATGGCTCTCTTCAACTATTATGAACATGAATGAGTGGTAGAGTGATGATTAGTTTTTATGGCTCCAGTTCGTTGCCTTTTTCTAAATAAAGCATATCTTGATCTTGGAGAAGTTTACATCAGTGACAATTGGCAAATTAAACAGAAACTCTGAAATTAGCGACCATTTCCAGTGATCAGTGAAACAATTTGTAACCAGATTCCTGCAAATATGTGTAAAGTTGTCCACATGGGCGGGTGGGGGTGGTTGGTTGTAGGTTCATTATACTGGTTCATAACAAATCACAGCTGAAAGATTGCATGCAAAATGTAGTGGTATTTATTGCAATACATAAATCATTTTGTAACCAACATCCAAGGCGGACGTTTTCATGCCACCATAATGGCTGAATCAACCTGTTACCGGTAGAAACTTAATCCTACATAATCATCTTGAAAGCTCTTATTGCAAATGTGAAAATTCCCATAATTGCATTATCTTAAAAACAATACATACATATGTGTGGAACACAGATGCTAATGCAAACAAGCAATATTTGGTCACCCACACATCCGTCTTAATGGTCAACAGACAGGTGTTTTGAAGCCTGTCATGGCACACTTGGCATACATGATCGGCTGCCTGTTTCAGTTTTAACCAGCCATGTGTCAATGGAACTTCTTTCGGAATAAGAATACCTAAGTTCTGCTGTGGCCAGCTGGATTCTGGACTATTGGCCATGTTATAATCTCAGCACCCCAAACAGCCAACCACTCCCAACACAATATTAAACCCTATTTTACCTTTCCTCATCTGTTCCATTTTGGACAAAATTGTTCATGAAGTTCCCTTGAGTAAACTTAAGGGAAAGACGATAGCCTTGTGGTAAAAGCATTCTTTCATCTTGCCAAAATCTCAGGTTTGAGTTCACATTGTATGTAATGAAAATCTGTGCTAAGTGTCCCCATTTCTTTCAAAACTATTTTGAATAGTCATGTGACACCTTACCACAATAGTGTATCATAATGGCATCGCCACATGGTCCTTGCACACCAGTATGTTGGGACTGTTTTGCCCCACTAATCATGCATGTAATTCCTTGTAATATACATTATGGATCCTCGGCAGGAAAACATAAAACTGAAAGAAGTATTGTTTGGGATAAATATGTATGATAATGAATGGCTTTCTTATTAAACACAACATAGAGCAGTTTCCATAAACAAACCACTACAATGAAATAACTGTTGGAAATAAGCAATTATATGATGTATCACCACTGATGTATCAACACAAACAGAGAACCACAAACCTATTTGAACATGGGTTTGTGTCAGTGACATATATAGGTAACTCAGTCAGGTCAATAAATGTCATGTAAGCCACACCTAGCAATATCTTACATTGATATCTTGTCAGAGTCCATAAGTAAACTTAGGTTTTGTCATCAGCAAGTTAGTGTGTTTCTAAAGCAATATTCCAGCAAATTGACTGTGTTCTGTAACTGTCCTGAACCAGACTGTGAAGCTATTGAGTGAGTGAGTGAGTTTGATTTTACAACGCTTTTAGCAATATTCCAGCAATATCATGGGGGGGGGGGGAGAAAGGGGAGAGGACACCAGAAATGGGCTTCAAACATTTTACCCATGTGGGGAATCGAACCCGGGCCTTCGGCGTGACGAGCGAACGCTTTACCCACTAGGCTACCCCACCGCCCCGTGAAGCTATTGAACTGGGCAGTTGTGATATGATGACATGCATCAACCAAGTCATCTAGTCTCACCTCCTGATCCTCTAACCACAATCATGGTGAAATCATGACAGAACTACCAGGGCGTGACAGGGGAAACCACTCCTGTCTCGACTAACCTCTTCCATATGAGCAAGCTGTGATCTGGGTTGAAGATGAAATGAAAGCTGTATCAGCGAAGGAACTGACTGGAGACTGTCTCGGAAATCAACCAACAGTCAAAGGAAACGGTTGCAGATGTATATGTTCCCCTGCTCCGTTATGTACA